CTTCATTCTGTTTTTTTACATGTTAGTGCATAAGTGTTTTGTTAAACATTCTGGAAATAAACGAAGATGAGTACTACATTGAGTACTCATGTTTTTGTCTGCGAGTAATTCTTAAGGAAACAATTCATATGAGTACTCGCTGTAGTACACGAAAAGTATAAATACACATAAAAATGCTCGGGTACTCGGACGAGTAATTTGAGTACTCACGCTGGCAAGTCGTACTCGCTTGATGAGTAGTTTGACTAGGGTATATATTTTCATTTTAATATCTACTGTGGGGAACTATTGTATTAATAATTTTTAGAGACAGTTTTCAAACGGATGTGTAGACGTGTAAAAAAAAGAAGTATAAATAGGAAACATATATTATAGATCAAAGCTGGGACATGGATGTTGCTTAACTAGATGAACTTACACCTACATCTCACCCTGTTTTATTTGATAATTGAAGTGTAACTTATTCAGGAAAAACAAAATCATTAGATCAAATCTTATGTATATATGATTATGATTTCGTAATTGTATTAAATAGGAGTAAGTTAGTGAAAGATTTCATCAATAGTCACCCATTGATTCAAGCTATAATTTTATAGCCATTTAATATGATATTATTAATCAATAATCTTCTTTTTTTTTATAGGATTCTCTACTTAAACTTAAGTGTTTTTCGCTATATGTATATTTTGCAACAGATGAATTTGTCAGTAAAGTTGTGCCACTTCTTCATCAAATGCTACATTTAGAAAAACTTACATTATCTCTTCGTATTCGTGATCGAAATACATTCATCGATGGAAATTATTTGCATAAATATATAGTCAGTCAAATGTCACATTTACATACATTTATCTTTGATATTGTTACCGAAAATGTCATGGGTAATCAACTACTTAGACCTTCTGTTGATGATATTCGACGCACGTTCATTGAAAAAGGACATTGTGTTGATTGTTACATCGACTATCATTATAATAGTATAGGTCGATGTCATGTTTATTCACTTCCATTCAATATGGAACGTATATATAACATTACGCATAAGTTTCCTGGTGGTATGTTTATGAATGTTCGTGTTTTGTGTGTATTCGACTACGATCGTCCTTTTGAACACGATTATTTTGTTAAAATCTCACGTTCATTTCCATTACTTTGTCATCTGAGAATCATCAATAAAATGCCACAAAATGATAAATGGCCACGACAATTAATGAAACCTGAAGAAGCATTCTTAATAATTGAATATATGCATCTCGTCCAACTTAGTTGTATTGGTGCACATGTTGACTATGTAGAACAATTTCTTTGCAACTTGAATACACGTCTACCTTGTCTTAGTGAACTTCATGTTAACTATGAACATTTAGTAACCGTTACAGAGAATTTTACAAGAAATGCAACACGTATGAATTGTTCAAAATTGGAACATATTACTTTTCCTCGTAAAACAGGAATAGTTCGTTCGAAAAACTTTTATCTCTATTTTCCTTTATTGTATCACGAGGAAATGTAATTAATAGATTTATTTAATATATCAATAAAATAAAACGAAAATAAATACTTCTAAAAACTATTACTATGAAAATATTGAGTGCACATTGTCTTAGATACACTCATTATCAAATGGCGAATCCGTGTTTTTTCGAGTGACTTGAAACTTTCTCATTGAATAGTGTTTCAATAATGATAACAATATATGTCAACGATGAAATTCGTTCGTATTTTTTTATGAATCAAATCTATCTCAGTAAAAAAAAACCGCAAAACTTAGTATAGTTTGTTACAAACATTAGATTGAAACGTAGATCACACTCATGATTGCTTAAACTGCTTCTGTGAACATTTATTTATACATTGCTCACATCATTGATACAGCGATGTCGAGTGAGTGTAAGTATCGGTGTAGTTCTTCTCTTAATCAGCATATATATCCACACTCTAAAGACGAATTTATCCATGCACTTGCATACCATCAGAAATTTTTAGCACATGTTGGAACTGAAATGTAGAGTCTGGAATAAAACTAGAGGTCCAATATCGTGAAATTTGAGGGAGATATAAGAAATAATAATTTCAATAAATCAAACTATCGAGAAAGATTGTAGAGAGCGTAGTACTTTTCTAGTTTTTTTTGAACTTTCGCGTAATCGAAGGTATGATATTTTTTGTCCTCTTAAAAACTAAGAATTTAAAACAAAGAGTTTCTGTCATGTTCTGAATCTCGATAGAAAATTTCAGATTGTCAAATGATCATTTTTGACTCTAATTGACGTGAATATCTTCTACAGACGTCATCGTATTATGGTGAAATTTTTATGGTACTCTCTCCACTAGCCTCACCATATTCTGAATATTTCGTGCGATGTGCATGACCAAAATCGCTTTTCAGGAAAGATGCGAGTGACTTCAAATGTTCTAATACTTTTTCAACTAACTGCACAAACGATTTTTGACCGCTACACAAAATAATAATTGAAGAGATACTCGATTGTACGAATACCTCTTTTTTTTATTTGTTTTTAATACTTCTTTCTCGTCTTTCTAGGCATGGAGATCTTCTAATAAGTACAACAGTTTTCCAACTATCAATCTTTTCTCTGAATTATATGAAACAATTTTGAAATGTCCAAAAGTTACACGGTACTTTGTTGCCATTACTTTTCAAGAATAACAAAGTCTGAACATTGAACGAAACATAAATTCAGATTGTATCGGAAATGAAACACGCCTTTTGGGTTGTTTAATATTCTTGTATTTTTATAAAACAATATCACATAAAATAACTAAAGTTTATCTCATATTTCTCGAACGATTCTAAAATCTAAAGGTTATACTATGGGAATATGAAAAAAAAAACAGAATACTATTTGATTTCTTTTTAGAATACTTGACGGGTTTATTAGAAAATTTTTGAGAAGCTACTGATTTTTCAGAAGGCTTTTAAGCTAGAGAAGGTGCTTGAGAAAACCTTTCCGTTCTCAGTAATAGTTCCAGGCCTCTAATAGATTTTCGGAGAGTCGAAGGTCTAGAAGGTATTCTCAGAAATTCTACATAGGTTCGAAAACCTGTCGGGATACAGTTATAGCTTGTCGAGTGAGCTTCTAAGAGAGTTTTGATTTCCTAGAACTGGATGCATATTAAATGAGTATAAACCAGTATGAAACTAACCATAGCAGCTGATCGCTCTGTTTGAAAGGATAACTTGGAGTTGCTTTCAGGTACGTTTGACGACTTCATATTGAAGTTGACTTCCGTGTTATTGTCACCGTTTTGAAAAATATTCGGCGTATTGCTCAGGACATTCTTGTACTTAAGAGTTGGATTTATTAATGAAGTTAGGTTTGGTACACTAGGATTTGAAAGAGAAAATTTTTCCTGCTGAATGATCGATGACGATAATGGGACGATGCCGTAAGAATTTATTTTCTCTTCAGCCGTTAATATTGAACTAGTTGAATGCTGCGACTTTTGTTTTCTACATTCAAGACGGGGTTGGGTGTGGGTGTGGGTATGTTTTCTCTTAATTCACACCCACACCCACATCCACCCATATCCTGTTTCGTATTATATAAATAAATTGGACGAGGTATAAAAATCTTGTAAGATTATTTTCTGTGAATGACTATTCTACTTATTAATTGTTGGCCAAAAATGAACATTCATTAAATACAAATTAGCATGTTAATATAGTTTCTTGAGTGCAGAAATATCCTATGCGATTGTACATAAGAACCATCAGATAAACTTTGAGAAAGAACAGAAAATTATACCAGCATATTAGAGTCAAATACGAACCCTGATTAGACTACAGATAAGATTGAACGAAGAAAAGTGGTAATTGCTTGATATCTTCAAAACACTAGACATTGCATATCATCAAAGAGACCTAATGGCGCTCAATGAAAGAAAAATTTAGC